TTCCTATAGGACTTCTAGAATATTAGATACTGACCATTGTCTGATAGACTGAGGTCAAAGTATTTTTCTGTACTAATGTTTCCACAAGGGACAGTGATAAGGTATAGTTCAACTCCTTGAGGTAATCTCCTATTCCTGGTAAATTCACTTTGAAAATGTCCTGTAATTCTCTCTGACTGGATTTCTATTTTAATTTTTCAGTTTCTTTACTTTCATTGCTTTCCATTATTGTTTGATAAGGTTTTACTAAAACTTGCTTTGACAGTCATAATGACTGCCCTACATCTCTAATGTACTCCACATAGATTCAACCTTAAAATCCATTGAATGTATTTTGAACCTACCCAAGATTACATCTATGTCTGTAACATGCAGTTGTCTGCATTACTCTTCATCACACCCTGCTTCCTGTATGTACAGCATTTTGTTTCTCGCATATATCTCCCTTTGTCCTCCAATGAGGCCTACTGCCCCCTCACCCCCATTCCCAACCCATGTGGTTGACTGGGTCTCATCTGTGCCTGATCCATTTCCTGCATTTCTGCCCTCACCCTGTCCTCATTTGTCACCATTCTCACCATTCAAAGGATTATCCTCAGCCATTTCTGCCATCTCCAGCAGAATACCACCACTTAATACTTCTTCTTCTGCCCTTCCATGTCAGCATTCCAAAAGGACCATTTCCTCCAGGACACACTGGTCCACTCCTCTGTTACTCCATCCCCACACCTTATCATCCACACTCCCTCCCCACACAGAGCATGGCACCTTCCCATGCAATTGCACACTGTATAAATCTTACTCCTTTACTGCCTCCCTCCTCACAGTCAAAGACTACAAACATACCTTCCAGGTGAAGCAGTATACTTCTTTCAATCTAGTCTATTTTATTCACTGCTCACAATGAAGTTTCTTCTACATTGGCAAAACCAAACACAGGCTGTGTGGCACATCTCCAGTCTGTCATTAAGAATAATCCCAACGTTCCAATTGTTTTCCATTTCAATTTTGCTATCATGCTGATGTTTCTGCTGTAGGCCTGCTGCAGGGTTCCAGAGAAGCTGTAGAAACAGCACCTTATTTTCTACTTAAAGCCTTCAGGCCTCAACGTTGAATTCAGTCCTTTATTTTGATTACCTTCCTCCTCTACCACCCACCATCTCCCTCCCACCCCACTCTCTCTAGTTTACATGAGTTTGTTCTCAGTAGAGCTGACCTCTTCTAATACCCCTACCATTAAGACCTACTCTTCACCTCTACCACTTTTCTACTCGCATTAGTACTTGCATTGCCTTTTGCTATGGACACCTTACCATCTGTTCCTCTTGCTCCTCCTCCCACTCCTTTCTATAGCATAAAACCCAACACTTTTCCAAAACCCTTCACTTCCAAAGAAGACTTACATTGGACATGAAATGTTCATTCTTCTTCTGTCTCTGAAAATGCTGCAAGAATTGCTGAGTGTCTACAGCACTTTCTGTTTTAATTACAGATTTCCAACGTCTGTATAGATTGTTTTTATCACTTGAACTGTTCAATGGCAATGTGGCCAGACCTATCCTTTGTTATACCCAGCATAGGTAGAATCTAAGCATGTAGTGACATTCTGTATCTTAGGACAGAAGATCCATGCACAGCTTGATGCAGCCCCACATGATGGCCATTAAGGTGAAGCAACATTGGCAACATTCCCCCTTCCCCTTTATCCAGGGCCTTAACATGGTGTCCCTGCAGATACAATTTGACTTCAAGATAATGGAGAAGATGGATCAGATGACTTGTGCTACACAGGATCAGGGAATGGGCCGGACCTCTGTTACAAACAGCAATACTGAGCCCCTTCATAACTGATACATTTCAGGTCTATGATTTGCATCCTAATCAGCTGCTGGAATCTAGATTTGTACCTAATCCATGCTAATAGGACTTTACATTTTTTCCTTTGCTGACTGTGAGGGTCTGACTTTAGCAAGAATCATTCTGATCATGTCCTTGTTGAGTGAAGACTGTTTGGACATCCAGCAGGAAACTTGCGTAATCATCCGCTCAGGGTCATTTTTCCTTATCAGAGTCAGAAGGATTGGATTCACGGCCCACTGTGAGCAGCACATTTCACCCTGGGAACAGCCCATCTAGGCATAAGTATTCTGAAGCTGAAAACTACGACAGAGACAATGGGAATCTCCCCAGCTATCAACCCCTAGTAAGTAGCTTATAAAATCTCATTACTGGACAGGAAGATCTTATATATGTTTAGTAATGCACAGTTTTTTTTCAGTATGGCATCATTTGCTGTAAGTTAGATGTTTCACCGTTTAAAAGCTGAGAGTTTTGTGTAGTTTTGTAATGCATATTCCACTTATTCTGTGGAATTTGGCTTCTTAAAAGCTACACTGTTAAATTGCAAATACAATCTCAGGGACCATGAGCTGTTTTAGATTTTTGCTAATTTCAATCTCACCCATGGTTCAGTGATTACCCCATTCGACTTGGAACTGAAATATTGTAGGGTCAAGCGCAACTTCAGCGCATAATCTAAACTAATACCACACTGACTACAGAGTGCTGCACTGTCGGCAGTTCTATCTTTTAGATGAAATATTGAGTTTCTCAGGCCAAAGTGGAATAATCTATTTTAATAAGAATAGGAGAATACTCCCCACTAATCTGGACAATATCTATCCATCAATTAATGCCTGAAAACTGATAACTTAGTCATTTATTCCAATCCTGTTTCTGGGTTCTCGTGTACAAATTGGTTGCCCAATTTCCTATGCTACAACATTTGATTAGTTTGAAGTATTGCCATTGATTAAAAAGGATTGAAAGGATATTTTGCAGTTGTGAAAGGGGAATATATAAATGTAGTTTCTTGTTTTCTTTAATTGAAAAATACAGAACAGATCCCAGTTGAGAGGCAGAATCAATCAACAGTACAATTATGTATGATATCCAAAGTATGAAGCCTCTATAAACAGAAATGTGTGTAGTTACTACATTAGAGGCATCAATACTCGCATTGATATAACACTTCATAATATTATCAAAATGCCTCAGGAATAATATTAAATTTTACATTCAGAATGTAAATTAAAATTTAAAAATTCCAAGGCACTTCAGATGGTCATCCAAACCAAGAAGGAATTAGATCAGGTGACAATATGTGATCTTAAGAAGCTGCTAAACTGGGAGAGAGATGTCACTCTGAAAACATAACCAATGTGTGATACAAAGGATCGGTTGCATTCAAGTGAATGTTGGCAACATGCCCAGTTCAAGGCTGTGAAGAATCCACAGAGTTTAAGACACCAGAACAATTCTGGAACCTGGTTATTGACTAGCCCCGCATTTGGGACTATAGTTTGATTTCATAGTTGTCACATTGTATTTATATTGAGCCTTTCATGACCTCAAGGCATCACAAAATATGTCACAGTTGACAAAGGACATGGTCCATTGACATGCATGCAACTTTTGTTTGTAGGTTAGGAAAAACAAACTGTGTACTTTTAAAAAGATCATCAGCCTGTGATGAAGTTACACGGAAGCTGTTGTACTATAAATCCAGGAGTGGCCATCCGGTAACAAAACAGAAACAAGAAGCAGGAGGCTGAGCTTTCTATATAAGAATACATGATGACCTAGAGAAACCACAAGTGCAAGAGCAGAGCTCACTGACTCACCCACAACATTAACCCTTGATCACACATTCACATTTCATTTCAATGATAAAAAGACTTGAAAATACACAATAACTCATTGTTTAATTAAAATGAAGGTGAGTCGGTGAAACAGGTTATCAGCAGCAGTGAGGAAAATTTAACTGGTTTTAAGAAGGAACCAAAAGGGGTTCAGGATTATGAGAGAGTTAAACACGAATGTAGGTATACTTGATGGACTGAAGAAATTGACTGTGGTTTATGTCTCTGAGTCACAAGGTTGAAAGTTCATGTCTGACTCCAGACATTTCAGCACAAGATCTAGATTGACATTCTTATTTAAGTAGTGAGGAAGTGCTGCAGTGTTTGATAGTGATAAAGGGGTTTTACACTCTCAGAGGTGCTGTCTCTTTGATGACATATTAAACTGAGGCCCTATTTGTCCTGTCACACAGACCTTAAAGCACCGAATTCTGTTCAAAGACCATGGGAATTGTCCCCAATGCTCTGGACAGTTCACATCTCAAAAAAAAATCACAGAAACATGGATAATAGGAGCAAGAGTGGGCTATTTGGCCCTTCGAACCTATCTGCCATTCAGTACCATCATGGTTGATCATCCAATTCAGTAGCCTGTTCCCATTTTCTCCCCCTACCCTTTGATCCCTTTAGCCCTAAGAACTGTATTTAACTCATTCTTGAAAATATTCAGAGTTTTGTCTTCAGCTGCTTTATGTGGCAGGGAATTCGACAGGCCCACAACTCTGACTGAAGAAATTTCTCCTCATCTCAGTCTTAAATCCCCACATCATTGAACTGTGATCCCTGATTCTGGACTCCTGGGTCATCGGAAATATTCTCTCTGAATTTAGAAACAAAAACAGAAATTGCTGGACAATCTCAGCACTTCTGGCAGCATCTGTGGAGAGAAATCAGCGTTAATGTTTCAAATTCGGTCACCTTTCTTAGAACGCCTCCTGAATTTACGCTGTTTAGTAATGTTAGAATTTTATAGGCTTCTGAGATTCCCCCCTCATTCTTCTAAACTCTGAAAAGAGCTGTAACTGATCTAGTCTGTCCTTATATATCAGTCCTGCCATTCCAGGAGGAAGGTTCTGAGGAAGGGTCACCTGACCTGAAAAGTTAGCTCTGTTTTTTCGTTCCCAGATGCTGCCAGACCTGCTGAGCTTTTCCAGCAATTTCTGGTTTGTTTCCTGCCATTCCAGGAACCAGTTTGGTTAAGCTTCGTTGCACTCCCTTCAAAGCCAGAATATCCTTCCTTAGATAAGGAACAGAATATCCGTTCATTACTCTGCGGGACCTTATTGTGTGCAGAGTCGCTGTTGCAAGCCCTACATTAAAACGGTCGGCTGCAGTTCAAAAAGTATTTCATTGGCTGTGAAGTCCTAATGTTGTGTAAGGTGCTACACGAATGTAAGTTTTCGCCAGTCTTGTGCTGTTAGTTTCATCGTGAAAGTGAAAGCTGAGTGAGAATGGCTGAGCCCAGCAGCGATCATGGTCCTACTACCCTTTTTAATTACAGTGGGGGAGGCTCTGATGTCGATAGAGTAATTTCTGCTTTATGAATGTGGAAGAGGAGCAGTTCCCAGGGCCCCTGGGATCCTCCTGTGCACTAGTTGTACATATTAGGTGATGTAGAGCGGACTAGAGCCTGACTCCGCGCTCACACACTGATGGCCCCGCCACACTGCCTGCTGTTGTGTAATCCGAGGTTTACGTGCAGCTTGTCACTGCACTGGCACTGGGTCAGTTGATCAAACACTCCCCCAGCAATGCAGCGGGCGGGAGGCAGGATCGATGTTCCTGCCAGCTCCAGAGTCCAGCTTGGAGCAGGAAGAGGAGGCTTTGTTGTCCCTCTCTCCGTCCCTGTGTAACCAGCAGGGGATTCCCGGACCATACCCTCAGCAACACTCCGACTGTGGAGACAGAGAGAGAAGCCTCGGGCACTCATCACCGCTTCCCCAGGAGCCAGCGGCAGGACAGAGCGGATCATGCATCTCAAGCAGCAAGTATCGCCTCTCCATCCTGCCTGGTCTCTAACCCCCCACCTCACCCTGAGCTAGCTTTTATCTGGGAGCTCTATCACTCTCTCCCTTCTCTCTCTTTCCTTTTCCCTCGCCATCCTTCCTTCCTATCTAGCCCTCTCTGGGTTTTAGATCCTCGTTCCGCCACACTTCCCCCCCCGCCATCCCCACCCCCAAACCGCGACCCTCCTCCCATCACACAACCCTCAACCCCTCCACGTGCTCCACCCTTTCCCTACACCCCACCTCTCTCCACTCCCCAGCCTTCCTCCAAAAACCTTTCCCTCTACCCCACTCTTCCCTCTCCTCCACCCTGCCACTTCCTCCCCTTCACTCTCCTCATGTTACTCCCCTTATCCTTTGACCCCTTCACCCCCCTCCACTCTTTGTCTTCCCCTCATCCTATCCTTTCTCCTCCCACAGACTCGCCCTCTGTTTCACTTTCTGTCTCTTCCAGATGACCCACAGTGACGTGTGGGTGAGAAGGTGTTGGGGATCCATTCAACAGTTGGAGCAAGCTGCTATCAGTCACAGGAGGACTGGGGATAGCGCTGAGGCAGAAACAAAGTGACAGTGATAGAGGGTCAGAAAGAGAGCAAAAATAGTGGGAGAGAAATAAAGGGACAGTGAATTCAAAACACAGAAGGACAGACAGTCGGTATGTTATAGTCAGACAGAGAGAGAGGGGGTGGCATGAGATGGAATCCGAACGGGAGAGTGCAATGTAGAGTGGGAGGGGTCGGGGGGAGCAAAATTGGGAGAGAAAGAAATAGAGGGAGAAACCAAACGAGGGCGATGGAAAACCAAGAAATGGAGGGTGACGCAGTGGAGGAAAGGAGTGTAACAAAGCAAGGAAGAAAGTCAGGAAGTGCCAAAACGGAAGCGAGGAGAGAAGCAAAACAAGGGAAATAAACAACTGATGGGGTAACGAGTGAGGACAGAAACAGGGGGGAGCGATGTGGTTTTGACCAAATGAGAAGGAAAATGAAATGGATGAAAAGAAGGCAAAGTGTGGAGAAGGTAGGCAATTAGAGAGGGAGGGATGGACGGTGAGTGTGTGAATGGGAAAGAGAGAGGGCCAGCTGGCAGTGAGGGGGTTTGGGGAGGGTAGGGACAGGGGGCCGGTGGGTAGAGAGAAAGTAAGAATATAAGAATGCAAGGCCAGAGGAAGAGCCTGTGCAGAGGGGCCTGCAAGTTGGTGGATAGGGAGGGACTGCTCAGATTCGGAGCCCGGACTGCAGATTCACTCACTCCAGGGGTAGGTGAGCCACTGACTCATGCACATTGTGCTTTCTCTGACCCACTGTGCGTGTGACAGCGGCTAACTTGCTTTTAGGACAACAGCAATTGGGATATTCAAGAAGAAGGCAACGAGAGCAGCAAAATCAGCCTACATTTCTTTAGGATGTGCAAAACATCCCAAGGCACATCTTATGAGCTACAACAAATATAATTTAACAACCAGCCACATGAGATATTGGGTCAGATGACCAGTAGGTTGTTCATGGACTGCTTGATTTTAAGGGGAGTCATGAAGGAGGAGAGACAGGAGAAGAAGTTTAGGGAGGGAGTGTGGAGCTGGTGCCCAGGCAGCTAAAGACAGGGCCGTTGATGGTGGAGTGATTAAAATTGGGGTGTGTGAGAAACCATACTTGGAGAAACACAGAGGATGGTGGAAAACTGGAGCACAAGGAGGAGTATGTTGGAATTTTCCAAAGCAGCAACACCAATGCTTGAAGAGATGACTGCAGAAAAGTGCAAAAATATTGCTGTCTGCAGAAACTGAAATAGAAAGATGGGCATGACAGGCAAGAGTCAGGATTCCCAACTGGATGTGGCAGTTTTGGTAGTTCTCCTGTGGAATTGCCAACATTGGATCCAGAAATCCCCTAGAGTTCAGGCATAGGTTCTGAAACATTGAACAATAATCTGAAGCTTCCATTTCACCTTTTGAGAGGACGTTCGGAAACCTAAGAACTTTGTTCACAAAACTTTCAGAAAGAAAATGTGTTCTTGCATTTTTATGTTCACTTGTGTGACTGTCTGTGTTTGCGTGTGTATGTGTGGTTATATCTGTATTGCTTTTTGAGCATGTGGGCATGCCTACATGTATTGCTGCTTGCAGGTGGACCATATGCTTGTGTGTATATAAGGCTGCATGTCTTTATAGCCACAGGATTTGGATTTATAAGATATAACCAAAAGTTTGCAAATGACATGAAACTCAGCTGTAGTAAACTACAAGAAGTATATAACAGAATTCAGGAGGACAAAGATATCACATTGAAATAAGCAGACAAATGATAGATGCAATTTAACACAGAAAGGTGGGAAGTGACATATTGGAAGAAGAATGAGAAGAGGCAACTTTAAAACAGAGAGACTGAGGGATGTATGCACACAAATCTGAAAATTACAGGACAAGTTGATAATATCATTGAAAAACCATGTAGATCTTTGACTTTATTAATATAGGAATAGAGTTCAGAGGAAGGAAATTACATTAAATCTTTGTAAAACACTGATAGATTCAGCTTGAGTACAGTGACCATGCTTTATTATAGGCCTTGGATTAGGTGAAGAGGAGATTTAATAGAATAGGTGCAAGGATGAAGCACTTCATGTATGAAGGGAGGTAAAAAATCTTAGAGCAGAGAAGGTCAACAGCAGTTCTCATGAGAGGTTGTCAACCTGAAATATTACCAGACTGACAAATTGAGTAAATTTGCCGTAATCCCACTCTCTCATTATAGAGACGACCAGTGGGTGATTTAATCTGAGGGTCACCACACCTCAGGCAAGGGGAGAGATTGAGAAGGAGAACCTGAGCTGGCACAAGAATTGAAACTGTGTTGTTTCTGTAACACTCTATCACAAACCAGCTAACTGACTCCCTTAAGAGGTTTTACCTATTGGGAAATATTGAGCGCACTGGGGACTGCTTTCCCCAGAAAAGCAAATGTGAGGGACACCTTCACGTTATGGAAGTATTTTATACGGTCAATGTCGAGAGGATACTCCCACCTTTGTGAAGACCAGAATTTGTTTTAAAATTCACTCACAGATATGGGCATCATTGGCTGGGTCAGCATTCATTGTCCATACCTAGTTGCCCAGGAGAAAGTGGTGATAAGTGGCCTTCTTGAAACATTGCAGTCAAGTTGCTATAGTTAAACCCACAATGCTGTTGTGGGGTGGGGGGTTAGTGGCGGTGGTCCAGGATTTTAACCAAGCGATACTGGAGGAATGATAATATATTTTCAAATTAGGATGGTGAGTGGTTTGGAGAGAACCTTGAAGGTGATGGTGTTGCCATGTATCCGCTCCATTATCCTTACAGATGGAAGTGGTCATAGGTTTGAAAGGTGCTGACTAAGGAGCCTTGGTGAATTTCTGCAGTGCATCTTGTATATGACACGCACTGCTGATACTGAGTGTCCTTGTGGAGGGAATGGATGTTTGAGAATGTGGTGCCAATCAAGTGGGCTGCTTTGTCCTGGATGATGTCAAGGTTCTTGACTGTTATTAATGTGCACCCCTCCAGGCAAGTGGGAGAATATTCCATCACACTCCTGATGTGCGCCTTGCAGATGGTGGACAGGTTTTAGGGGAGTCAGGAGCTGAGTTACCTGATGTAAGATTCCTAGCATCTGACATGCTCTTGTAGCCACAGTATTTATGTGGCTAGCTTGGCTCAGTTTCTGGTCAATGGATGTTGATATTTGGGGTTCATTGGTGATGTCATTAAATGTTAAGAAGCAGTGGTTAGATTCTCTCTTGCTGGGGATGGTCATTGTTAGTATTCATGTAGTGTGAATGTTACTTGCTACTTGAAAGCCCAAACTGGATATTGTCCAGATCTTGGTATATTTGAACACGGACTGCTTCAGCATCTGAGGAGTTATGAATGGTGCTGAACATTGTTTGCCAATGATTGCACATCACCACTTCTGACTTTATGATGGAGGGAAGGTCATTGATGAAGCAGCTGAAGATGGTTGGGCCTAGGACACTACCCTGAAGAACTCCTGCAGAGATGTCCTGGAGCTGAAAATACTGACCTCCAACAATGACAGGCATCTTCCTATGTGCCAGGTATGACTTCAAACGGCAGAGAGTTCTACCTCTGATTCCCATTGACTTCAGTTTTGCTAGGGCTCCATGACGCCACACATGGTCAAATGTGGCTTCATATTAAGGAATTCAGCTCTTTTGTCCATGTTTGAACCAAAGCTGTCATGGCCCTGGTGGAACCCAAGCTGGGCATCACTCAGCAGGTTATTGCTGGTGCTGCATGATAGCACTGTTGATTAAACTTTCCATAACTTTACTGATGTTCGAGAGCAGACTGATGGGATGGTAATTGGCCAGGTTGGATTTGTCCTGCTGTTTGTGTGCATACCTAGGCAATTTTCCACATTGTCAGGTAGACGCCAGTGTTGCAACTATTAGAACAGTTTGACTATGAGCATGGCACGTTCTGGAACACATCTTCAGTACTGTTGCCAGGATCTTTTCAGGGCCCATAGCCTTTGCAGTCTCCAGTTCTGTCAATTGTTTCTCGATATCATGTGGCGTGAATTGAATTGGCTAAAGACTGGTATCTGTGATGGTGGGGATCTCTGGAGGAGGTTGAGCTGGATCACCCACACAGAACTTCTAGCTGAAGATAGTTGCAAATTCTTCAGCCTTATCTTTTGTGCTGGACTCCCCTGCTGTTGAGGATGGGGATATTTATGGAACCTCCTCCTTTAGTAAGTTGTTTAATTATCCACCACCAGGGGCTGCTCTGAAATGCCCTCTTGCATTCTTCATTGAAGCAGAGTTGATAGCCTGGATGATGGTAATGGTAGACTGAGGGGTATGGCAGACAATGAGGCTGCACCTCATGTTGGAATACAATTCAGCTACTGCTCTTGGCCTACAGTGCCTCGTGGATGCTTCATTTTGAGTTGCCAGGTATATTTGAAGTTCTTACTATCTCTATTTGAAGTCTATCTGATTTAGCACAGTGATAGTGTCATACAGCACACTGGATGGTATAGTCAGTGTAAAGGTGGGACTTTGTCTCCACAAAGATTGTGCGGTGGTCACTTACTGATACTGTCATAGACAGATGCAGAGGGCAGATTAGTGGGAATGAGGTGAAGTAGGTTTTTTCCTCTTATTGGTTCCCTCAACATTTGCTGCATATCCAGACCAGTAGCTTTGTCCTTTAGAACTCAACCAGCTTGATTAGTAGTGGGGCTGCCGGACACTGAAGTCACCCATTCAGAATATATTCTGTGTACTTGCCACCCTCACTGTTTCCTCCAAGTGCTGCTCAATACAGGGGATATGTTGGATTAATCAGTTGAATGGGGATGATATGTGGTAATCTGCAGGAGATTTGCTTGCCTATGTTCGACCTGATGCCCTGAGACTTCATGGTGTCCAGAATCAGTCTGGAGCACTCCTAAGGCAGCTCCTTCCCAAGGATCACTGTTCTGCAGGTGGAACAGGGCATATTGAATTCAAATTCCACCACCTGCCTTGGTGGGATTCAAACCTGGGCACCCTGAACATTACCTGGATCACTGGATTACTAGGGCATTGCCTCCCTTGTGGATTATAAATTTAAGATATTCACTAATAAATCCAGTAGGGAGTTCAGAAGAAACCTCTTTACTCCAGAGAATGCTGACAATGTAAAATTTATTGCCACAGCATGTGGCTGAAGTGTGTAGTATAGTTAGTTTTATTGGAAACTTGATAATGACAAGAGGATGAAAGGGTTAGAAGGATATGTTGATGTATTGAATGTGAAGTCTTGTGTGGAACAGAACTTCAGCCTGGATCAGGTTAGATCATAGAATCCCTACAGTGTGGAAACAGGCCCTTCGGCCAACAAGTCCACGCTGACCCTCCGAGCACCCCACCCAGACCCATCCCCCCATAACCCACCTAATCTACACATCCCTGAACACTACGGGCAATTTAGCATGGCCAATCCACCTAGCCTGCACATCTTTAGATTGTGGGAGGAAACTGGAGCACCCGGAGGAAACCCACACAGACACAGGGAGAACGTGCAAACTCCACACAGACAGTCGCCCAAGGGTGTAATCAAACCTGGGTCCCTGGCGCTGTGAGGCAGCAGTGCTAACCACTGAGCCACCATGCCACCCCCTAAAGGTTGAATGACCTGTTTCTGTTGTGTTGACTCTGATGTATTTGTTGGTCTGTATCTTCAGCTACTGTTGGATGCCTCCTTCAGAATGGTCACCATGTTTCGGGACTAATGTTCAGGTGGGGATTTCAGTGACATTACTCATTGCATTCTCTGCTGTCAGCTGACTGGAAAATGCCCATGCTGGTTAAGTTTCTCGTAAATAATGGAGAAAATTTTCCTGTGATGCAACAGGAGTTCTTCCTCAACTGTATTATTCAAGACCAAGTTGTGAGACGTATCTGTGCAGGCCAAGGGGTCACTTTCAATGCCCACCTGTCACTGAACAGCATATCAGCCTAATGGATGATTTGTCTACATGGCAAAACCCCTTGTGAGGGTCTGGATGATGCCATTGTGAAATGTAGGTCTGCTGTGTTTGGACAAGGCAATTGACCAATCTGGTAGGACTTTATTTAGCCAGGTTTATCTTTCCTCAGGTAAATCTGCCTACAACTATAACCATTCCTAGATATCAAAGGCAATATAGAAACAAAAACAGGTTTAAGGAGCTGAATGGCATACCCTGCTCCTATGTTCTTATAATCCTTGTCCATTTTATTTATTACCACCCATCTTCCTTGCGACCTTATTCCCTTTCATTCTCACCCTCAGAGCATATGCCAGGAATTTAGGATTACCTTTGTCACTGAGGTTGGTTATCTTGCTGGAGTTGTGTTTTTTTTACTAATTCTTAGGCTGTGGGCATCACAGTTCTAAGAATCTGAAACAGCGTTTGCCACTACAGCATGTTAGAAACTTCGAATACAATTTCCATTTTGTAATAACCCTTTATCAACTTGCTAAGCAATACCATATGCTCACAACACCAAGTGCCCAGTGAGACCCAGTGTACAAGAGTTTGTTACCAGATGATCAGGGATTTGGTTAACTTAGTGGCTGAATGGCTGGTTTGTACCACAGAGTAGCACCAATACTGCGGGTTCAATTCCCACACTCACTGAGGTTACCGTGGAGATCCTGTCTTCTCAAGCTCATCTGAAATGTGGTGATCCTCAGGTTAAATTCGCCATTGGTTGTCATTCTCTAATGAGATAGCAGGAATGTGCTGGCTTTAATATTACTTTACCAGGTGGTCATTCAGCCAACAATTCTCTACAATTTTTCCGTCACAGACCATGTTGCACTTCTTAGTTGCGCAGTGATGATTTTTTTGCCTATCGTTTATATCCCTTTCTGAACCTGGTCCCGTGGCATATCACAGCAGCAGGTGGCTTCAGGTGCATACTAGCAACAGATGTGATTTTTAATTGTTAATGCAAAAGAAAGCCATTCGCGCACACACAAGAGGTTATTGTTCCCTGAAAGATATGTCCATCATGTGTGCAAGTCCCTTTGTTTTGAAAAGGTCAGATTTGTCCTCTAAAAATGATGTCTTCAGTCAAAATATTTCTCCCTTCATAATTCTGTCTTCCTACCATACGTTTTTGAGCTCAGGATGTTAGACTTTTACATAAGTATAAATACAAGTCTAATTTAAAAAAAAATCTCTTGCAGAATGACAGAAATGTGCAGATTATCAAAAAGTCCTTACAGTGGCAGGTTAGTATTTGTTATCTAGATCCAGTTGCCCTTAAAAGACTGTTTTAAATCTTCATCTTAAAACGTTGCTAACAGGTTTGATGCAATAGGCTGCTGCGCTATGGAAATTAAAAGCCATGTTGACTATACAATGCAGAAGCCTCAATCAGTTATGTAGTGAATGCGAATTTGAATCACTCACAGCATGGCAGTTTGAGAATTTCGATTGTTTAAAAACCCTGGAAGCAAGAAGCTGGTCTCCATAAATACATCCATTAATATGTCAGATTGTCATAAAAATCCAGCTGGTCATCAATATCCTTCAGCAAAGCAAATCTGCTAGCCTTACCAGATCTGGGCCTAAGACAAAGCTGAAGCATTTGCAAGCATAGATGGCCAGAGACGTGTCATAGAATCATAGAGAGATAGAGGTTTACAGCACAGAAACAGGCCCTTTGGCCCAGCTTGTCCATGCAACCCAGTTTTCACAATAAAACTAGTCCCATTTGCCTGTGTTTGTTCTTGTGGCATTATGGTAGTGTCCCTGCTTCTGAGCCAGAAGGCCTAGATTCAAGTCCCATGCTGCTTCAGAGGTGTGTCATTAGCTAGTGGAACAGGTTGATTAAAAATATCTATTCAGCCAGAAGTGATGAATGGGCAATCCATCTCAGGCTCTTCCTCAAGGACCCCATTTAAGATGGTAGCCATCAATTCAATCCTTGTGATATGACTGAAATAACTGAAGGCACTGGATACTGCAAAGGCCATTGGCTTTGACAACATTGGAGACAGTACTAAAGACTTGTGCTCTAGAACTAGCCACACCCCCTAGCCTTTTCCAAAAGAGGAACAACATAGGCAAAGAAGAAAATAGCCCAGATATGTCCACAAAACTCAGCCACTTACTGCCTAATAAGTCTGCTCTCAATCATCAGCAAAATCATGGAAGGTCTCATCAACAATGCTATCAAGGAACATTTACATAATAAGAACCTGTTCACTGACACTCTTGGGTTCCGCCATGTCCACTCACCTCCTGACTTCATTGCAGCCTTGATACGAACCCAAACGAAAGAGCTGAACCCAAGGTGAAGCAAGCAGGACTGCCCTCAAAATCAAGGCAGCATTTTACTGATTATAAAATGAAAGAGGCCTGGCAAATCTGGAGTCACTGGGAATCAGAGGAAACCTCTGCTGGTTGGAGTCATACTTGGAACAAAGGAAAATGGTTGTAGTTGTTGGAGGTCAGCCATTTCAACTCCAGGACATCTCTGGAGGAATTCCTGAGGCCACAGGCTCAAACATCTTCAGCTGCTTCAATGACCTTCCTTTCATCATAGATGTTTGTAGATAATTGCACAATGTTCAGTACCATTCACAACTCCTGAAACTGAAGCATTCAATGTTCGCTTGCAACAAGACCTGGACAACATTCAACCTTTGGTTGATAAGTGCCATTCAGATTTGCACCGCATGAGTGCCAGATATGGAATATCTTGAACAATAAAGAATTCAAACTTGCCCTTGACATCCCATAGCATTACCATCACTGAATCCCCCACCATCAACATCCTCGGGCTTACCATTGACCAGAAACTGTTCTAGCCAAAAAAATGCTGTGTCTAAAAGAGCAGATAAGAGGCTGACAATTCACTGATGAATAACTTGCTTCTTGATTGCTCACAGCCTGTCCATCATTTATAAAACACAAATCAGTGTGATGGAATAATCCCAATTTACTTGGATGAATGCAGCTCCAAAACCACTCAAGAAGCTTGACATCTTCCAGGACAAAGCAACACCAAACACTGCCTTCAACATTCAATCCCCCCCACCACTGCCAAAAATGCCCATGTCCGTGAATGAGTTAAGAAAAAGTGACTACAGATCCAGAACTGCTGTTTTGAAGTGGGCCAGAAACAGTTGTATCAAATCACTACCTTAAGCAACCTGGAGACTATCAATGAATACTGACCTGACCATCAATGTTCCCATCTCAAGAATTCAGCAAAGAAGATAAATAGGCACCTTGGAATAAATTTTCTGTGGGTGTCAGGACTGCACTCACATTTAGAGACCATGCTTGACATCCAGGGACCCCTGACACTAGGGTATAAAAGGTGGGCTCTTAATGGTCTGCTTCCACTTTCACTGGCCACTTGAGGAGAGAGAGACAAGTGGCCCACTAAGAGGAATGGCTGTCATTCAACTGGACAAGTGGATGCTTTCAGAAGCCTGCTAAAGGTGAGTTAGAAAGGCCCACTGTTATAAAGGTTCAGAGTGGAGGAGAATCCCCTTTTCAGGATCGTTTTGGCCACGGTTGCTACTTTTAAATCCATTACAGTTTATTCAGTGGACCAATTGGTGGACATTTATGACCCTCTGGCCCGCTGCCTCCCAACCTCTGGACTCAGCATGGGGGCCTGTTGGGAAAAGGCCAGCAGGCTCTGAAAGTGAAGCAATAGTTGATTTGATTGGTTGCCTGTTCCCCTGGAGTGGACTAGACGATTCCCATGCCAGCCATTCCTGGCAATCTTCAAGCCAGGCAGCATCTGGAGGAAAGGAGAAGTCAATGTTTCGGGTATTACCCTTCTCCAGTCCTGAAGAAGGATAATACCTGAACCGTTGACTTCTCCTTTCCCCCAGATGCTGCCTGGCTTGCTGTGTTCATCCAGCCTCCTGTTTGTCTACTTTGGATTCCAGCATCTGCAGTTTTTTTGTCTCTGACCCCCTGGGAATCTTGCCTGGAGGAACTAACTAATTTCTAGACTTCTGAGCCTTCCCCCTTCCCCCATGGCAAAATTAAATCTTTTCTGTTTAGCTATTGTGGTCACAGTGTTACTGAGCCAAACCTCACTGCAGGGTGCCCTGCCTCAGCAAACAGATTTAACAGAAGGACTAAAGGGGAAGAAAATCAAATTGGTATGTTATATGCAGACTACAAAAAAACTAAACTAAAGAAATGAAGTTTGAATTGGATTTTGCAGTCAGTGCATGGGGGAGGTTCCCGTTGTTACAAAAATTATAAATGGGACAACATATCCAGCATTCATACACTTCCAGTGAAATGTGTAATGCAGAACAATTTGCCTAAGACTCGAAGCTACTTCACAAGGATCACTAAGTCAATAGTTCACTAAAATTACAACATTCAAATACAGTAAGGTTGTATATTTGATTCAGAGGTAGTGGGAACTGCCGATGCTGAAGAATCTGAGATAACAAGGTGTAGAGCTGG